AAAAAAAAAAAAAAAAAAAAAAAAAAAAATGTGTGACTTGGCAGTAAGATGATCATTTTAGTTTCAGTATTATTTAAATCAAGTGGATATGTGGCAACTGAGATATTTTCTTAAGTTTCAGTAGTGGGACCTTTTGTTTTCCTTTCTCCTAATTATGCAAAACTTTTTGTCTGTGTAGAATCTCAGCTTAGGACCCAAGACAAGTCTGGATTGCGGATTTATTGCTAGAATTATGTTAACCCCCCCCCCCCCCATTATTTAATGTTTTTTTGGCTGCTGGCCAGTACCAGCACCTGAACCCTTGACTTTGGTGTTATATCATTGTATTCTAACCAACTGAGCCCACCGTCCAGCCCTGTGTTAAACACTTTTTCGAAGATACTTGCTTATGAAGCTGCATCAAGTAGGGACCATGATTACTCCCATCTCTGTAGCTTACTCTACATGTTCACAACCCCTTCACTAACCTGTGCATCCTCTGCTTGTCTGGCCTCTTGCTTCTCATTTTTCTTCTAGTTTAGTAGTAGCTCATTAAGTCTGACTCGCTGTCACGGTGCTTTGGAAGAGTAGCCAGGTGTTCTTTCTGGGAAGATAAGAAATGAGCTGACCGGGGGAGTAAAAATGGGGAAAGCTTAGCTGTTTCTTGTCCCTTGTGTTAAACATAATCAGTTTAGAGGATTATGATTATGTGTAATCGTCAGGATCTGCTAGACAGGACATCTGTTTTATTTTTTTACTCTTAATGTTGGTGGAGAAATAGCATCCTTTTTATTTGATGTAAACATTTTGTATGGGAAAATAGCATGTGGTTAGTATAAAATTGTCTTACTCGGACTAGATACTCATCATTAGTCTGAAAATATTTTTCTAACTCTGGAAAATAAGTTGCTGTGAGTGTTTGGATTTTTATATATTATTCTAGACTGCCTTAGAGTTGTTTCGTATATGTAAGTAATATCCCTTGGTTTTATTTCCTAGGTTGCACGTTTTCAAAAAATACCTAATGGTGAAAATGAGACAATGATTCCTGTATTGACATCAAAAAAAGCAAGTGAATTACCAGTCAGTGAAGTTGCAAGCATTCTCCAAGTAAGTGGTTAGTGGGGAGGAAGGGAGTAAAATCAGTCACTTAGACTCTATAAACCAGTGCTGTCTGATAGGATTTTCTTCAGTGATAGGAATACTCTGTTCTCTGTTGTCCAACATAATCAGAAGTTAAACATGACTATTGAGCTTGAAATGTGGTTTAACCTAAGTTAAACATGACTGCGTGACTTTAAATGTGGCTAGTGTGATGTAGGAACTGAATTTAATTTCAGTTTATCTGAAATATCTGCATGTGGCTAGTGACTCCCTGATTGGACTGTGCAGTTGTATATTATTAGCATTGCCAGGAACTATTAATGCTGTGTAAGGATTAGTTGGATTAGGAAAATAATCAATTTAATTATTAACATAAGTAGTATTAAGAGTTTATCTTTTTTTATAAGGGTTTTCTAAGGTAAAGTAAAAGCTAAATACAAGTTCAGAACTGCAAATAAAGTTTAATTGCTTTTGTAATTTAATCTCTTCATAGTTTTAAAAAGCATGATCTATTAAAACATGAAGAAAATTTTTTTTATATTTCCTTCAGAAAGTCATATTTAAATGATGGCATTAAAAACATTGGTATTCATTTTTTAGGGATTTTTAAAAATTGTGTTCTGTTTTAAAATCATTTATTTTTAATATGTTTAAGTTTTGAAAGGCTCAGTTATCAAACTCTGTTATAAAGCTTTTGACCAGGGCAACTAGTTAGTTTGGGGATGCAGATAATTTCATTTGTTGATGCTAGTTACAATAATAAATCAAGAGAGAAACTAAAGAATGTAGGCGGTGTTCATAGAATATAAAATGTCCAAAGAACAAGTTCAAACTTATTACTTTGAGTAATTTAAGAAGCAAAAATTTTTGACCTCAATAATTACACAATCCAACAGCAAAAAGTAATACCAACCTTAGGATTTTGATAGGCTTAGAGAACAAGAAAGGCATTATGTTCTTGAAAAGAAACTAATTTTAGAAAACAATTAAACAACAATGAAAAGGAAAAAAACTAATGAAAATGTACATTTTGCTTTCTGTGAGACTTATTGCTGGTTTCTGTTATTCCTTTTTCCCCATAGGAAAACCTAAATTTTTTATTTTGAGTTATAATTTACATGAAATACAATACACTTATTTTAAGTGTATGGTTTACATTTTGACAAATGTAACCACTGTGGCAATTAAGATATAAAGCACTTTTATCACCAAAAAAGCTCCCCCATGTCCCTTTGCAATTAATTCTTCTCAGCATATCAGCTGCTGGTCCCAGTGGTTACTGACACGTTTTCTGTCACCGTGGACTAGTTTTGACTGTTGTAGAAGTTACTACAAATGTAATCATACAGTATGTACTCTTTTGTGTTTCTGTTTTGTTCTGTGCTAACATTTTCAATAAGTTTTATATGTAAACTCTTAATAGGCTGATCTTCAGAATGGTCTAAACAAATGTGAAGTTAGTCACAGGCGAGCTTTCCATGGCTGGAATGAGTTTGATATCAGTGAAGATGAGCCACTATGGAAGAAGTATATATCTCAGGTGAGATACTTTTATTCCTCCTCTGCTGTGTAATTCACATGGGCTTCTATTATTTAGTTGTTTACTGTGAGATAATTTATAGAGAAAGGAAATAATTTTTAAAATGGTTTTTACCTAAAAATTTCCATTTGCTAGGGTTTACTGTTAGGTTGGAATTCCTGTAATTTTTAGTTTGTAAATCTTAAGGAGCAGCATTTTCTGTATGGATATATCACATGAAGGTGATACTAATGAAAGTAGTTTCCTTTGCAGATAATGAACTTACACTTTTACAATTATAGGAATGCTAATATTTTTTCAGGTAATCATGCCACCTTAGAAAATTAGTAAATGTAAGTTAGGTAATTTAAATCTAGACTGCCCGGGTACAAATTATACCTTCATTTCTTACCAGCTGTATAATCTTTATTATCCCCTGAGCCCTATCTATAAAATGATGGTAATAATCTTAGGAGATAGTAAGCTCTCAGTAGATGATAGCTGTTTATATTTTATCATTATCCTAATCTTTTAGGAAAGACTTATTGTAGAATTTTTTTCTTATCTTGATAATAGTTATGTTAGTGTAAAAGTTTACAGGATCCTGTGGCCAGTTTCAACTAGTAGTGTTGGTTTGCTAATAAATATTTTTTGCTAAAAAAATTTCTTTTTAGTAAAGAAAATTTCTGTGCTTTCTCACCTACAGGTTCTTTTTTAAAAAAAGGTTTTAGTTTAAAGGGCCTTGCCTGCTAATGAACCCGCACTTACCATTCTTTGCAAATGTTCGTCTAAAGTAACAAAACTGAAATTTTAAAGGTTAAAAGAATCTTGTATGTACCTGTCTTGTTTTTATGGAATATTTTTTTATATGAATATTTGTATCCTTACATTTATCACATTTCCACATTGCTTGAAACATCAGGAAGTATTGAGGTAGTTTACTCTAGATTTATAAATTTTAATGATTTGGCTGATCAGTCTGTTTTACTTTATTGATCCTATTATCAAAGCTAAATACCTGTCTTTTGGGATTTCTGTGAGAATTAAATTGAACAATGCCTGTAATGTAGTTAAGCACAAGCAACAATTAAAGTAAATATTGTTAATCATAAAGCACTGTGCGACTCTGCTCCTGTACAGAGAACACTGAATTTGTTGTTCTGCAAACATCTCTCTGGTGCCTGTCATCTATCAAGTGGTGTGCTTAGTACTATGGCACATCTTTTTTACAGGAATATAAAAAAGACCATGGGCCTTGCCCTCAAAGTGTGATGGTAACAGATAACATTTGAAGAGGATTTATGGTTTACACAGTGCTTTAATATACATTCTTAGTTAATCCTTACCATAATTCCTTGGTATAAGATTCCATTTTACCAGACAACCTTTGGCTTAAAAAGATTAAGCTGACATACAAGTGACAGGAGCTGAATTCAAACCTAGGTAGTCTGACTCAGTCAGATTATGGTTTGTCAGTCCTGAGCCATATTGCAGTTGTAGTTTTATTTTGCTATAACGGGATTTTTTCAGTCCTTTACTTATTAGAATTGGGGAGTGCCTAAAAAATGCTGCAGCCTGGGCCCTATACCCAAAGTTCTAATTTAATTGGTTTGGTGTGAACCTGGACATTGGTATTTGTTAAAAGTTTCTCACGTGACTCTCTGAAGCAAGATTGGAGCCATCGTTCCAGGGAATGGAGCCTGAAAATGGGGGCAATGAGAGATGGTGGTGTGTAATCGCCTTGCTATGGTATCTAGGGCTGGGGCCACCAGCCAGAATGGATTCTTTGTAGCCCAGTTACTTTGCAACTTTGACAGTGATATACCACTTCAGCAGAGAAAGAAATTCTAGCATCAAAGCTTTATGGAGTAGGATGTACAGCTAGAATTTGGGGTGGCTCTGGTGCCTAGTCACTTAACTGCTGCCTTGATTGGGTTGGTGCTGTGGTCCTGTTTCTTTAGATACTATTTCCTCTGCTAGATAGATACCAGGAAAACCAGCCTTGAGCCTTCAGTTTCTTCTGTGGAGAGGACCTTACTGTCTGTTCCTAGCTGTCTTTTGAGGTTATTCCTATGGTGTGTGGGTCAATCACAGAATTGTAATCTAACAATTTACTTACTTGAAGAATGTTTGTATCTCATAATTTAGGCGTTCTACCCAGTGCTTAACCTAAATCTTTAGCTTTATTTCTTTTTCTAGCCTTAGTAGAAATTCAGAACTCTCATGTTTATTGAATTAATATACTAGAAATACATGTATACTATAAGGAATTTGAAATTTCTTAGTTTTAAGTATTTATATTTACTTTTTTTTTCTGAAAAGGAGCTGTTATGAAGCTTTTAAATGTAGCTATGTATAAACACTTTTTTTAGTTAATTGAAGAAATGTATAAAATAAACCAAATGTAGACTCTTATAATTTTCTAATCATTCCTTTACTTTTTTAAAAAGCATTTGCTGAGATAGAACAGATCTGTCACTCATACAAAACAGTGTTAAATTGCTGTTTGTTTTTACTTTCAGTTTAAAAATCCCCTTATTATGCTGCTTCTGGCTTCTGCAGTCATCAGTGTTTTAATGCATCAGTTTGATGATGCTGTCAGTATCACTGTGGTAAGAAAAAATACATTTTTAATCTGTTGATTAATTGTATAAGGTGGGATTGGTTTTTATTTTGGAAAATGAATTGAGAAATGCTTCATGTTTTTTGTTAATATCTAAATTCTGTTTTTAGTTGCAGTAATCTTGAGTAATATTCAAAGGTCAGTGATTGGCACAATTGAAAATTATTTAACAATCTGATATTTCACAGATATGAAATATTTATAATAATTTTCCAATTAAGTTTTAAATTTCTTTTACTTTCCAGTTGAGAATATGTTTTGACTACTTGTATATTAAAGCCTGACATAGGTGAAATTAAAAGTATTCTTTAGGTACACAGTATATTTACAGTATATGATTTTATTCTTTGCAGATAGGTTATTCTAACTTTCTTTGAATAGTTTTCTCATCTTTTTTTTTCTTGCCCTGTTTCCTTAAAACATGAATTTAAACAAATCATTAAAACAAATGTGTTATGCTTCAGAACACAGTAGATATTAATGTAGAGCTGAAGTTCTTGAATTGTTGCTTGTGGACTCCCAGGAGTCCCTGAGACCAATTCAGGGGATTTGAGAAGTCAAAACTATTTTAATAATACTAAAACATTATTTGTCTTTTTACTATAGACTTTTGCATCAGTGTCACAAAAGCAACAACAGTAAAACTGTTAGAGCCTTAGCACAAATCAAAGTAGTGGCGTCAAACTGTAGTAGTAGTCATTCTTCATTTCACTGATTCTCTTAAGAATGTTTTTGATAAAGCAGTAAAAATAAATTTCATTAAATCTAGCCTCTTGAGGATGTACATTTTTAATAATCTGCATAATGAAATGGGAAGTATGTGTAAAACTCTTTTGTATATTGAAGTTTGACAGATTTTTCAAGGAATGGCATTTGTTGTGAGGTGAACTAGCTTATTTTACTTGGAAGAATGATAGACAAACTATGGTTATTAAGACTTAGGTAACTAGCCAGACATTTTTTGGAAAGTGAGTTAAATGAGCCTATCCACACCAAGGAAAACAGCTGACAGATTTTGTTGCTAATGATAAAATTCAGGTTTTCAAGCAATAATTAGTGTTCTTATGCACTTACTGGGTTTTTATGTACTACCATGAGCTGGATAGCTTCCTAATATTTAAGATTTTATTCTAATAAGATCAATAGTGATTTCAAGTGTGTCCTTTTTTCAAAAAAAAACTGTTATGAAATGTGTCAGCATTTGGAAGATTTGAATAACCAGGTAAACCATTATTTTTCAAATGACCAGTGCATGATGCCACTAAATCTTCAGTGGTAAAAGATTCAGAGTGCAAGATAGATCAGTGGATTCTAATATAACATTATGAGAAGTTTATTGATATAGTTTTAGTTTCTTCATTGCAAATTATCTTTAAGTTTTGGTGTAGTAGCTAAGAAGAATATCCACAATCATCTGAAAGTACTGTTAAAATTCTCCTTCCTTTTCCAATTGCTTATCTGTATGAGGCTGGATTTTATTCAAATACTTCAGCCTGAACACATATTGTAGTAGATCGAATACCACCGTTCTATTAAGTTTAGACATTAAAGATAAAAAAATTTGGAACACTGCCACTTTCGCACAATTTTTTTTTTGAAAATATATTCATAAAGTTATTTGTGTTAAAAAGTAATGGATTTTTATTTATTTTTTTAGATGAGTTAATAAGTAGACATTAAAATCAAGTAATTGAAAAATTTATATGGTGAATATCAGTAGATAAAACCCATATAAATGAAAGCTGGTCCTCAATTTGTGAGAGTACAAAGGGGTCCTGAGATCAAAAAGTTGAGAAGCTGTCCTGGGAACAAATGGAAAGCCACTATAAACTGCCAGTTTCTTTCCCCACAGGCCCCAAGGCAAAGTTGTTGTGATTTCTTCTCCAGCTGATCTCAATATTTAAAATCTGTTATCTTGCGATAGTAGATAGTCAGAAAAATAAAATAAGGTTAATGGTTATTTCTCAAGTTAATATCTGATTAAAAGGCTGTTTCTTTGTTTTGTTTAGGCAATACTTATCGTTGTTACAGTTGCCTTTGTTCAGGTATGTAGTCTATTTTGCCAATGTAAAAATGTTAGTTACTTAAAAAATTTAAAGTGGCTTATGGCAAAATCCGTAGTTATTGGTGGGTGGTAATGACCATCAGAACAATTTTTTCTTTGTTTCTGAAATAATTTTAGATTCAGACAACTCTCAGGGAAGTTTGTGGGACTAAGGAACTGCTTTGATTTAGGTAGTGAGATGATGAAAATCTAGTATTTTATTTGATAGTGTTAAAAATAACTGAAGCAGATGGAAACAAAAAGAATAGTAATAGAAATAAAATCCAGGAATAAGTTTTTTTTTATTTTTCCAATTAAAAAATTGGGCCAGGTTTTATAGTTTTATAGCACTATTATGTTTTAATACCTATTACAGGTAATTCTGGATGAAACAAAAAAAGAGCAGAGAATTAAAAGGTCAATTTATGAAGTAGCATTTGAAGAAAACCATAGGTCTCTGTGACTGATTCCCTTAGTAGAATGGTGTACTTGTCTACTGAATTTATTACTTAACCTTACTTCATTTGAGTCTTTTTTGGGGAATTAAAATCCTTTTAGTCACTGTTGGTAATCTCCTTCTCCCCCTTTTTAAAAAATTCCTCATTTCTCCACAGAAGGGATGTTCTGGTCTGGATCAAACTTCCTATTTGGCATAGCTATTGAAACAGTAAATAAAACATATGCAAAGGAGTCCTTTTTAGTAATTATTGTGAATAATGGGGAGGATAATGTCAGGATTTTTATTAACAAGTGCAGGCATAAATAAAAATGTAGGCTTGGTTTTATGTTTATTTAAATATCTGAAACTTCTATAAGATTTTAGAATAGTGTTTCAGAATATCAGCAGGACTCATTTTTAGCTAAAACATTGTTAATGAGACTAGAAGGATTATTCTAGTTTAGGGAAAAATGTAATACTGTTGTATACTCATGCTGTTGTGAATCTTAAGACTATATTTTGAGTTATTGTGGTTATTCTTACATCTATGATTTATTCCATGAGTATTTACTGTCTGTATTCTGGCCTATTATGGTAATCTCTAACTTAGTAACTTATTAGTTTTTTAGTAAAAAGTATAGAAAGCCAGTTGGAATACATTGTTTGCATCAAGATTGTGTGCTCTGTTAGTAGGCCATAAGGCTTCCTGTTTCCCCTGGGGGGAGTCTTCTTGCTTTTAGAACAGACAAATGTTGCCCTTGTGTAGGTAGACCTGTTAGTCTAGCATAGTTTATTCCAGGCTGGGCATTGTTTTAGGCAGCTAGCTATTGTGGGTAGTATGATCCTCTGGACCAGTAACTGGAACCTTCTTACATTTTTAATAATGTGTCATGTGTATGGAGTGCCCTTCCTCAGAAAGTTTTCTACAAATATTTTCACTGCGTATGGGAGACCTTAGTAGGTTGTTATCTTTGCTACATAGAAAGCCTTATCCTCAAAAAAAACCTCCACAAAATTGTGAGTTTAATGTAAGTCAGTGTGGAATTTTACACAGGCATAGTGTGTTATACACTTTAGATGCAATGGCTAATCCCAACTGCTAAGTATCTTTATGATAGGTTCATTTGATGAGAAACTTAGAAAAGGATTAAAACATTATGAAAAGCCTTGTTTTAAATTGGTAGGTCTGGTTTCTTGCAGTGATGTGACTTCTTTTCCTAAATGTGCCTGTAAAACCAACCAATATTCTGTAAACAGCAATTAAAAATCCTCTTTAAAAAAATCCTATTTATTGTCAGTTGAACATATCATAGTGCTTTGTCAAGAAACTCTTTATTGAAAATGTATCAGAACTTCTTAATGCTTTATCATTATTTAGTGTTTGTTTTTTACATATGTTTTAGGAGAAGAGTATTTTATATTATTTTTTATATATACATCTACCTTTTTTTTCCGTATCTCTTTCTTATCCCCATGCCCCACACCATTGTTTTTCTCAGCCACAAGCATAGCTAATTGTTTTATGTAGTCATATAATGATACCATCTTACAATAAATTTGAAAAAATGTTTAGGCATTCAAGATGGCCATCAGGTTTTTGGTCATTTTGATACAGAGTAATTTTTTTAGTTGTAGAGAATAGAGGCTAGGAAACCAGAGGAGGTAGGTAAAGATTGGACAGCTTCTATATTGTCATTTATTACTATGATCTAGGTTTGGTAAATATTTTCTAGGCTTTTATGGAATTTTGGGTAAAACTTCCATATTCCTTAATGTTCTTGCTGTGTTTGGTTGGAGAGGGTGTCTTGTAATTTTTATGTTTGTAGATTTTCCTTACTTACACGTGTCCCTCTTATCTAAGTAGAGATTGATTTAGTTCTAAGTTATTGTCATAACAGCTTTGCATTTTCTATTTGAAGTTTGTGATAGGTGTGAAAATTTTTTTTAAATTTTATTTTATTTTGTCAATATACAATGTGGTTGATTATTGTGGCCAATTAGGTGTGAAATTTTGACTAGTACTATCACTGCAGTCATTTCAAAACACTCCACCTTTCACCCTACTAATTGCCCCTCTCCCTTTTAACCTTAGGTCAAAATATTGGTTTGCTTAGTGTAGACATGAGACAAAAAAAGCAGTGATGTTATATGAAGCAAGACTGCTCATGGAAACGTGAACTAAATAGTGTAATGAGGTGAAGGATATCTCTGATCCTAAGCTATTGGTTATATGGGTAGAAGAAGGCTGGAACATCGTAGATGTAGGGCTCCTGAGAATTTTCCCTTTTTCAGGTTGATGTCTATCAGTGTAGGGTGTATCAAATCTTACTCTTTATTTATACTATGTTTTTTCTGAGCAAACTTATTCTGTAAACCATTGCAGTTAGCGTGGACTTAAATCCTCAAAGACAGTTAATTGTCTTTGACTTCTTTGTTCATTAAACACTAAATGTAAAATTATCTTAATTATAAGGCTAATGATCTTAACTTTTGATGACTCAAAATTATATACTCTTTGGACACACTAATCAGTTTTAATTTACATCTAAAGTAACTTGTTTGCAACATCAAGTATTAAAATGTAAAATTGGATATTTAATTATCAAAATTGTGTAATCACTATAATTTAACATTTTTTAATAAGAGACAAGTTTTTATGGGTAGGAATATAAGCACAAGTAAAGGAAAATATAAGAATTGGGGAAAATTTTAAAATAATGATTAATATTTAAGTCTAAATGGAACATGTTAGTAGGAACATACATAATAAATGTTTTTTGTTAATATTAAGTTCTTTTTTTTGAATAGGAATATCGTTCAGAAAAATCTCTTGAGGAATTGAGTAAACTTGTGCCACCAGAATGCCATTGGTATGATCCTTTTTTCTGATATGGATTTCTACACCTTTAAAATAGAAGTTGAATGTGGTTAGTATAGTATACATTGTGGCCCTAGCTTTGTCTAAACAGAAGGAAGAAACTATTAATATGACATAAAAAATTCCTGATCTGATCAATGTAGCAAAAATTCCACTGTTAAAACTATAAAGTTCTAGCTGGCTGATAAGCTCAGTTGGTCAGAGCAGGGTGCTGATAACACCAAGGTCCAGAGGTTTGATCCCTGAATTGGCCTGCAAAAAAACCCCAAACAACCTTAAAGTTCTAATTTTGAGATTCTTGAGACATGGATTTATTCAACAGATTTTTTTTAGTGTGTGAGTATATGCCAAGTACTTGATATAGTGATGCACCATCAGATTCAGATTATTTAGAAGATTGCTTCAGTTTTCACATTTTACTTTTGAACAGATCAGTTTTTCTGATGATTTTCTGTGATCTGAGCATCCTAATTAACAAGAGCATAGAAATGGTCTTTTTTGGTTCTTCTTGGAATTAACTTATCTCCTTGGAATTGGCAATACTGGTAGAGGTTGAGTATTCCTTTTCCAAAATGCTTGGAACCAAAAGTGTTTTGGAGTTTGGATTTTTTTTTTTGAGTTTGGAATATTTGCGGAGTACGGAATATTTGCGGAGTACATAGCAGTTCAGCATCCCTAATCCAAAAATCCAAAATCCTCCAATGAGCGTTTCCTTTGAGCATCATTTTGACACTCAAAAAGTTTCGGATTTTGGAGCATTTTGGATTTTGGATTTTTGCATAGAGATGCTCAACCTGTAATAGAATACATCTTCCCTCAGGCAAGTCTACCGGAAATAATTTTTTTGGATAAGTCACGTGATTTTTGTCTTTTAACCATGGTTGTTTCTGTTTAATGTTACAGTGTGCGCGAAGGAAAATTGGAGCATACACTTGCCCGAGACTTGGTTCCAGGTGATACAGTTTGTCTTTCTGTTGGGGACAGAGTTCCTGCTGACTTACGCTTGTTCGAAGTAAGTTTGGGGATCTGCTTGGGAGAAATGAAAATATTTGGATGTAAATTAAAGGATAAACATTAGCAGTTTTAAGGATTAACACATAGTTGATTTGAAACATTTGGCTGTCCAATTTAAAAAGTGACATGTGTAAACATTTTTTTCCTTAAAATATATCTCTCCTGTAAAGTCTTTTATGATATCTGTAAAGCTCAGTAATTGAGTAAGAAAACTTCAAAGAATAGGGTATGGAAATTTTGAGAAGAGAGAGTTTACTTCGATTAAGGAGAGATCAGAGAATGCCTCAGACAACATGACTTTATCAGTGATAAATTGAAGAATAGTACTGGACAGAGATGGGGAAAACAATGAAGAAACAATGAAGTGTTCAAATGACTGTGAGTGTCCCACTTTATGATATGGGGCCTAGGGTATGTTAAGGGTAAAAACTGTAGGATGGAATTAGATTTAGGAGGACCTTGGATACTAAACTCCACTTCAGATTTTATTGGTTAGGAATTAGCTCTTGAGGGTCATGCACAGCTGGCAAATGATGTTACCCTTTATTTGTTCACAGTGTATAGAATAGATTGAAGGGCTGGAAAATGGAGGTAGGCACCTAGTTTGAGAGGCTCTCATTAGCATGTCAGTCTCATCTACTATTGGAATTAACAAGCTGTTTGTTAACATATACAGAGCTGTCAGTCTTTAAATACACTGTGCCCCTAAATATGAGTGTTATCATTTAGAGGCTATTGAAAGCCTGAAGAATCTTTCAAACTATAATAAGAACAAACTTCACTTAATCTTTAAGTAAAGGTCTTTTTCAAAAACTTGAAATTTATACTTAGAGGGATATCAGATTGTCTTAATTGGATAAAAGGGAATAATTGATAATATAGCAAGTGTTGGGAACATTATTTTTATTTTATTACTTTTTTTCCCTTTGCAAGTCTTTATATTTCTTTTTTACTCTCCCTTTCCTTCTGTCTCTAATATTTACTTTATGACAGTAAACTAAACGTTATTCTTTTTCATAGGTAGTCATGACACTTGGCATAAATTATCTTCCCTCTTCCCCAAAGAATCCTAATTTGAAATCATGGAATTTATGCCATCTTTAATTCTGGAGTGCTTCTCTTCCTTTTCAGAAGCAGACCTCCTCGGTGGGATAATCCGAAGGTGGTATTTCCCATTGTTTGAACAATTTGAGTAGTATAATGATTAGAAACTTCAAAACGCAATTTGGCTTAGTAAAGTATTTTATGGTTTTCATTTGATATAATTTGATCAATTATATCAAAGTTCACGTGCAAACAGGAATAAAACCTGTCAGTGTATGGATTAGTATGTATTTTATCCCCTCAGCAAATATGAGGGTACCTCAACAAGTTTGTAGAGAAAGGGAATTAAACAATAATATGAATCTTTCCATGAACATTTTGAGGAACCGTGTATATATGGAAGGCTTACCATGAGTTCAGTAAGAAGGAATTTTACCTTATAAAGTTTGATGCTGTAAAAATCATAAGCATATGCCTTGTGGAGCAATTTATTAGTTGTTACTCTTTTTTCCCTACTTGTTAATTTTCAGATATTTCATCGGCGCATGTTTTATTCTGCAGTGCTGTAGCTAGGTTGATTTTGTTCTAGTTTATCTGCTTTCACATGTATAGTTAAACATTTTTGATTCCCTCTACCTTAATTCTGCTCTGTTTGTTTTGTCTACTGTGTGGTACCCTAAACAGGCTTTTATAACTAATTTGACAATAGATTGAGATAACTTCCCTAAAAGATTTGAGTCTTTCATCCTCTAAAAGACTTAAGTGTACTGACCTAAGATATAATAAGGCTGATAAGTAGATTTCTCTTCTGAACATAGAAGCTGCTAGCTTTTTGGAATTAAATTGGATTATTAGATTTTGTTTGCTCAATTTGGATGTGATGATCTCTGAATGATTATATCTCGCTAGCTGGTCACTTGGTATTGTTGCATGAGATAAATGCTTCATTATAGTTTAGAGGAACCAGAAGTCTCCTCAGTCAGCCTTAGGATATCAGTTTCTCACAGACAAAGCACATGGGTTTCAGTTTAGAGAAAGCAAGCCCCTGAACTTATGTAGTGTATAGTTCTTTTCTTGTGGTCTGGGCCCAACGCCAAGGTTTCCACAACTCTCTGGTTCCTGTTACAAATTTCAGAGCTTGCAGATTTTGGCTGTAAACTTGCCTGGGCTCTCAACAACTTCTTGTCAACATGTTCAGTGGCCTGACTGCTGTACAACTTTTATCTGGTGTCATCATCTCTTCATGGGCTGTGTCCTAGCTTTGGGCCGCCATAAAAAATACCATAGAATTGGTTTCTTTAGCAACAGACATTTATTTCTCATAGTTCTGGAAACTGGAAGTCCAAGATCAAGGTCTGGCAAGATTCAGTTTCTGGTGAGGGTGCTCTTCCTAGCTTGCAGGGGGCCATTATAAGGATCTCAGCCTCATGACCTCATCTATCTCTAATTACCTTCCAAGGCCCCATCTAAATACCATTACATTTGTGATAAGAGCTTCAACGTATGAATTTTGTGGGGCACAGTAATTCAGACCATAACAGGCTGAGACTGCCATTTTGTGAACACTTTTTAAAGATAAATATCGTTAACTTAAGGAATTGTGTGTAGTTTTTCTTGCCTGAGTTAGTGTTCCATAAGCCACTGAGTGAGCCAGTATAGTCAGTCATCCCTCAGAATTTGCAGGGGATTTGATTCTAAGATCTTCTGCAGATACCAACATCCGTGGATGCTCAAGTCCCTTATATAAAATGGCATAGTGTTTGCACATAACTGTGCACATCCTCCTGTATACTTTAAATCATCATATTTAGATTACTTATATTTCTAATAGAACGTAAATGCTATGTAAATTATTATTATATTGTATTTTTAAAATTTGGGTTATTTTTATTGTTATGTTTTATTGTGTTTTTTCCCCTAATATTTTCCATCTGTGGTAGGTTGAATCTGCAGATGTGGAATCTGTGAATATGGAGGGTATGTGTTGGTGATAGTAGCCTTTTCAGCTCAGTTGCCTGAGAGACACTGGTGGAGCTGGAAGAGTAAAACTTGGAGGAATTGAGCTTCGTGAATGTTTTTTTTGTTTTGTTTTCCTGAGAGTTTTTATTTTAACTTTTAACAGTATTTGAGTAGAGGCATCATTGGCTAATTAGTTGGTGATAGCCAGTGGATTGGTCAGACAGTGACTTTAGAGGAAGCAGTCTTGCATAACAGTATATTTTTGCCTTTGTGAAAACATAGCATATTATTTATATTGTTACAGGTAAAGTCTGTATAAACATTTGAACAAAGAATTCTTTGTAAGAGAAAACTGTGTAAGAGTCGGAGGAAAAGGGGTTTTTTGGTCTGTTGAAAATATTTTTTACCTCTCTTAGCTATCACCTTTTTTTTTTTTTTTTCCCTCCTTTTTTACTGACCGGTAATGGGATCGCAACCCTCAGTGTTGTGCCCGCACCGCGCTCAGCCAGTGAGTGGGAACTGGTCTCCACATGGGATCCGAACCCTCGGCGGGAGCGCCACCGCGCTCCCAAGTGGCGCACTCTCCAGTGCGCCACTGGGCCGGCCCAGCTATCACTTTCTAACTAAGCCCAATACATTGCGTGAAATGATAGCCAGATTTTCTTTTCCTTTTTGTCTTTTTTACTGACCGGTAATGGGATCGCAACCCTCAGTGTTGTGCCCGCACCGCGCTCAGCCAGTGAGTGGGAACTGGTCTCCACATGGGATCCGAACCCTCGGCGGGAGCGCCACCGCGCTCCCAAGTGGCGCACTCTCCAGTGCGCCACTGGGCCGGCCCAGCTATCACTTTCTAACTAAGCCCAATACATTGCGTGAAATGATAGCCAGATTTTCTTTTACTTGGAGCTCTCAATTAAGTCCATTGACACTTTCCTTTGTGGTTTGTGTGCTTAGAGCTGGCCTACGTCATTCTGTGGAATTATCTTCAAATCTAGACACTGGGGGCAAGTGCTTTCTTTTTCTTTCTTTTTTTGTAACCCAATTTTTGATCTGATGATTTTCTTTTTTATTTTTGGAATGACTAATCTGATGATTTTCTAAATGTATCATACTTCTTTTAGACAACTATCGCTTGGGCTAAGAACAAAGATTAAGTCATTTTATGATACTAGATTATCAGACCATTTTAATCTGAACAGAAAGTTGAGCTGTTTAGGAGTCACAGTCTAGAGGGGCCAAGCTCAGAACTCTAGACTCAAGAATGTCAGTTGGTATTTTATTGTGAGCCATTTTTTAACCTTGTGAGTCCAGGCACTTTGTTAGAGGATGGTAGTTTGGCTCAATGAGTTGTTTTTGGTGTTTCTTCCTGTTACCTAGTTCCAAGGGGAAGTGAAAACCAAAAGTAATGGGTGTGATTGAAGAAGCACAGATTTACTTTGGCTGCTTACCATCTGAAGGACTCAGTGATAGTCTCATTGACTGAAATCCCACTCAGTCATTATGTCCCTGAGGCTCACGTTCTTGTACAGTCTTTTGTTAAGAAACACTAGCAATGGGATTCCTCTGTGTTGGGTAAATCCATTAGTGGAGCTATCTTTCTGTGTCATAGCATTCTGATTTTCTGAGTTATAAAATACACATTCCTTTTACTCAGTGTAAAACTTCATATTTTGGCAAAACCGAGGTTGCAATTCTGATTCAATTTGCTATGTTTTTTCAAAAAAGAATCTTCAAATATTCAATGGAATATAAGCATGCAATGATATTTTAAATGTACTTATGTTGTAATTAAGCTAATTTAGGCAAAATATAATCTCTTTTTTAGGAAATCAGTCTATGTTATTAAGACATTTTAGCCATTCAGTGAATATTTGAGTACCATGTACAGAACACTAGACCAGGTTTCAGGGCTAAGAAGAGAAAAAGACACAGTTTGTGCCCTTTCCACTGGGAGACACCAACTTGCAAATAACTATGATTCAAAGAATAAAATGT